CAGAGGTTCATGCGGTGATTATTGGCACGTAGTTATAACGACGATGAATTTCAGATAAATATAAGAATATTTGAGCCTAGTTTCGCTACGCTTTTAAGAAATAGGTGTAGGAATTGAAAGAAATAAAAAATTCATTAAATCCTTTCACTTATTTTCATAAATGCTCTATGTTGAAATCAAAGAGAAGATTAAAGCGAAAGCGTATCTTGATCCATAATTGTTAGTTTTCTGAACAGATTTCGATCTTCCAATTATTACGTGATTTCCTTGAATTTTCTCCTCTGTTGATGGAGATACAGAGAATTTTGAATTCACGTACAATTGGGGATCATGTCCCCATAATAAATAACTACAAGTTGACAGTTATTAATTTTGTGTTATTTCAAATTTGTTTCTCATCAATTTAAAATAACATATTACAGTCTCTACACTTTATTCCCATAACATTTAATACACATTAATTCAAAATTAAACTTACTGGATCACTTTATAGACTAATCTTTAAAATAGCATCACACATTTTAATATATACACATGTGTGGCTCCATCTGTTGGAATTCTTCCAACAATGGATCCCACCAAGAAGTACCTAGTAAAAAATTAGATAAAAATTGCGAGTTCTAGTACGCATGCCTAAATTGAGTTTATTCAGTTTTATAAACAAACATAAGCTTTGCCACACATGCACCGAGGGCGAGCAGGCAAAGTACTTTGCACTATATCAGTATACATCATGGGAAATATCAGATAAAAATTGAGAGATCCATGAAATGTACAAGTAAAAATAGAGTTTGTTCAGCTTATAATCAATTACAAGCTTTGTCAAACATGTACCGAGGGTGAGATAGCGAAGTACTCTGCACTATATCAGTGTATGCTATTAGTCTAATTACGCTTTTCACATGCAAATTACGAATCATAGTTATCAGTCTGTGCTCGATCATGGTTAAGTTTTGAGTCACTTGCTCCCTTGGTGATCGCATGATAAAATCATAAAAGAATCTTTTAATATATATTTTGAAAATCTTTTCAAGACAAAATAGGAGTTTTATATTTCTTCATTTCTTTTTATTATAATATTAATGTACTTACTCTTTTTATTTTGTATGTCAAGTTTTTCTTCGTTGAAGACGGGTGTTTGGTAAGTTAATTTCTACTCGGAGAAGTTGTTTTAATTAGAAGATGAAATAAATAGTTTGTTGGCTTTCGATAGTCAAATTCATTTTTACATGTTTTGTTTTCCAATTTTATGCTATATGGACTTTCCATAAAGTTAATTTTGTTCTTGTTTTGGCGGTGTATTTTATGATACTTTCTATAAGTGTGTGTTTGATTACATTTATTTTCCATGAAAAATATCAGTTTTCCATCCAAATTCCTATTTGAAGTGTTTGATTGCTATTTTTTTCCATGGAAAACATTTTCCAACTTTTGAAAATATGCCTAATTTTCCTTGTTTTTAAGGAAAATATTTTCCTTGGGTAAAGGTGGTTTTTATTTTCCACAAAAGATGGAAAATATTTTCTTTTCTATGTGATATTTTCCATGTCAATCAAACACACTCTAACAGTTGATTAAGATAAGAGGAAGATGACACGAAACGGTGAGATTTGTGCACGTGTCTTGTGGGAAAGTTAAGTCATTGTGTAAAGCTCGGTAGGGTGATTCTGCTGGGAGAAGCTTGTAAAAACCATTTAAGCAATTTCGATGGAATATTTAATTAATGTTGATGAAAGGAGCGAAGGCTCGAATTCGTTATCTGCTATCTATCCATATTAAAATCTAGTCAAAAAGTAGTGTTATTTCATATGATGCTGATGCACGTTTCCAGTAAGTATAGACTGATCTTGATTTTTCTTCTTTTTGGGGCCCTATGGTCTACATAGCAGGGGACAATCTCTCCTTTCTCGAACCAACTCCCCACGAGACTTGAACCTGCAACCACTTGCAGGTGTGTTGATACCTTATCCGCTAGGTCATTCCTTGGTCTTAGTAGACTGATCTTGATGCTAGAATGAAGGGTTGTTTTTTGCATCATCTAGCTCAATCTTTGATTTCTTGCGATTTGCACACTGTTCTCTGGCTAATCTGGGGCCCAAAGAAGGCCTTTTTACTATTAGTGTTATGCGTACTAAATGCTACAATGTGATAGCATAATTCCGCAAAAAGAGAATGGTTGCTTGTGGTCTACTACCTAAATTAACACCGAGTAGATAACATTTAATTTTTATGGGCTGATCATGTAATTTTTGCCTGTCTATTGCTTTAGGATATTGAGTTTGAATCTGCTGAAGCCAAGATGCACGCCCGTAGTTCAACGTCAACAAAGAGATCTCGTGCTGCGGAAGTTCATAATCAATCAGAGAGGGTACGTACTTCTTTTTAAGAGATTATCAATTAACAGGAATAATATAGGATGAATCCCCCAGATGGTTAGAAATATAGATGGTATGAATAAATTTTTGATTTGCAAGCAGAATTACAAAATAACAAACATTCAAAGTGGTTCTGGCTAATATCTTAGTGCTTTATTTGCTTTCTTGCATGATTATTTTATTTAGTTATTTGACTGCTGGAACTCTTGCAGAGGCGTCGGGACAGGATCAACGAAAAGATGAGGGCTTTGCAAGAACTCATACCCCGGTGCAACAAGGTTTTAGCGCGTTTAATATCAGCACTGTGGTTTTGTTTTCTGGAATGACTGCTCTAGATACTGGGCGTGAAATTCTTGTTCTGGTTTATGAATTGCAGTCTGACAAAGCTTCAATGTTGGATGAGGCAATTGAGTACTTGAAATCACTACAACTGCAAGTACAGGTAGATTCTCCTGTATTCCATTTCTCCGATATGGCGTTGAATTATGAAATTCTCTTGCTACATTGATCTCGTTATTTCCTGCCTAGTAATTTATGCTCCTTAATACGATTGTTAATAATCCCATGTCTGCTTCATTTTACTACGTATGATTCACATCTACTCAAACTACTACAAAGGTGTCTGTTGTATGTACTGGAGTAGAACACAAACGCATTGCATCCTAGTTTTGTAGTTCCACTGTCTCGTGTAAGTTAAAAGACAGAGTCCATTCACCTAATAAATTAATTTTTGTTTTGTCCATTCCCCTCTTCCTTTCTCTCATAATACTCTGTTTCACGCGTGCATGGCTATTTTGTGTAAGTTTATTCATGCTGTTTAAAGGAAGAAATGCATTGCAACTGTCTCTGCAGATGATGTCCATGGGATGTGGCATGATGCCTATGATGTATCCTGGTGTCCAACAGTTCATGCCTGCAATGGGGATGGGAATGGGGATGGGGATGGGCATGGGCATGGGAATGGAGATGGGCATGAACCGCCCAATGGTGCCGTATCAATCTGTTCTACCCAGTTCACCAATGCCAAACCCGTCAGCAGCAGCACATATGGGACCCAGATTTTCGATGCCCCCATTTCACATGTCACCAGTTCCTGTACCTGAGCCTTCGAGAATTCAAGTTTCAAACCAGACGGATCCTGTGCTAAACTTACATGTTGCCAACAACCCAAACCAGCCTCAAATCCCGAATTTCATGGATCCGTATCAACAGTATCTCTGTCTCCACCAGGCACAATTTCCATTACCACAGGCAAGTTGGATGTGTGTTGACATTGAATCAGCTTCCCTTCATGTCTATTCTGTCATTACATGTTATTTAAATAATTATTCAACATTTATATTGGTCACAATATAAATGAAAGTAATTTGAACTTTACAATTCCAGCCACATCTTGTGTGGCCATCATTTGAAAATTACTTTTGGTAAAGTTTTAGACTAGTACGGCAGGAGGATATTATCATGCATCAACCAACCGATCAAGTTTGCTTCATTTTTCCAGTTTTCGTACTGATGGTTTCCTAAATTTATAATCCAGAATCAAGCTGCAGTTCCGCCGCCCATTACCAACAAGCCCAGTAGCAGCAAAGAAATGGGGAACACTTGAGAATCACAAACCAGGTAGGCAATTCCTACACTTACTTGAGTAGACTTCCCTTTTACGACAAGCCCGTATGAAATTTGATCCAAACATAATCAACATTGAGGTTCTTGTAAATATCTTGTGTACGTTCCATCAAGTCCTAAATTGTCACCTTTTGAGGGTATGTTTGTGTGAGGTGGTGCGTGGAAGGGCATCCATTGTTGATAAATCTAGTATTGTCGGATGGTTTTTGGAAATGTTCTTAACTAGGTTTCTATATATAACAAGTTCTTGTGCATCTGCAGGTTAATTTCCGTGATGCGAGGACTCCATTGGCTAAATGCAGCTGGTTAATACAGTTTAAGGATGTGCGCTAACATGTAACTATTATTAAATAGTTGATTTTCCTTTATTTTCCAATGGATGTGTAAACCCCCTTGTTCACATCTTGAAAGTGAGGGATCCCACATCAGAAAGGAACTCCTGTGAGCTTGCGACACCATCGGGGAACGGGAAAATTTACGCCGTGATAGGTTGTTAGGTGTTTTTCATGTCTTCTGCCAATTATTTTTAAGCTCACTCATATACAGGATAAATTTGGGAAAGAGGGATATGGCTGCTATTCCATTTTGAAGCATTCAAATGTACTAAATTAGAATTGAAGGGTCTGTGCCTCTCACCGATTTAGTGGACCCCAATAGGTACGTGACAAAATTTGTTGGATTTCTTATAATTGACATGTCTGATTATAAATTTATAGAAGTCTTGATGCTTTCAACAAATATCAATTAAATACGAAATGTTTTAAGCATTTTTATTCAGCATATAATCATCGAACAGACGTCATTTTGATCAATTACGGGTACATTGACAATATTCAGGATCAAATGCACCTTTTGAAACACACGTCCCCCCCTTATATCCTGCCTTTTGGCATTCTTCGTTGCATTCTTCATCTGTTGAACTACAACGCCCTATAATAGTAGTGATACCTGCAACTGAAAATTTACAGAAAAGAAAAAAAATATTAATAATTACATCGGTAATGTGAAAAAGAGAAATTGGAATATAAATTTACCTGAGCTTTTTTCATGTGAAGAAAGGAGCAATGCGATGCAAAATAATCCAATGAAAAGATATGATCGTAGAGGAGACATTCTTGTTTGTGAAATTGAACTTACACATTAGCTCCATGCCTGACTTTAAATACTTATTTTGGCATAAATGAGAATTAATTTACTCTAATTCTATAATTAATTTTCGCATAAATGAGAATTAATTTACTCTAAATGTGCAATTAATTTTCCTTTTAATGTTATTTATAAAATCAGGAATTATTTGGGAACTATTTAATAAAAGATTTTGAAATTTTACCATTTTTAATGAGATTCTTATGAATTATATGAAAATCTATTCAAATTCACAATATTCATTAGAATTTATTATCTTTTCAAATTCATCAAAATCTCATACAAATGTGTACACGTAGAAAGTTAATTTCTCATATAATCTATAAATATGGATATTCTATTCTATATGGAGGGCGTAGTCAATTGGGATTATGAAAGATTTTAAAAATCGTTCTCAATTTTTTGGTATCCTCAAATGGGATTTTTGTGGATTTAATGAAATCCATTAAAAATTAAGCATCCTCAATTGAGATTTTAATGAAATTCAATGAAATGCTTTAAAATTTAAGTATCTATAAATATTTCATTAATAGAGAGATTTAGAAAGATTTGGATGAATTTCATTCTTAAAAATACATAAAACCAAATCTTTTGAAATTTCACTATATTTGTTGAGATTCTTATGGAATTTGTTGAAATTTATTCAAATCCACGAAATTCATTAGGATTTATGATATTTTAAAATCTATCAAAATTTTACAAGGATGTCCTCAACTATAATTTTGTTGAATTTTAAAATTATAAATTCTAATGAATTTAAATTTCTACAAATTTTATAACAATCTCACCAAATATAATGAAATTTCAAAAGATTTGGTTATATGAATTTTTAAGTTTGACTTCCATTCAAATCTGTTAAAATCTATCCATTAATGAAAGCTTTATAAATCCACTAATTATTGAGAATGCCTAAATTTTAAAAGATTTCATTGAATTTATTTTAAATCTTAGGGTGTGTTTGATTATATTTATCCAAATTCCTAATTTGAGTGTTTGATTGCTATTTTTTTCCATGGAAAACATTTTTCAACTTTTGAAAATATACCTAATTTTCCTTGTTTTTAAGGAAAACATTTTCCTTTGGTGGAGGTGATTTTTATTTTCCACAAAAGATGGAAAATATTTTCTTTTCTAAGTGATATTTTTCATGTCAATCTAGTGTGTTTGATTGACATGAAAAATATCACATAGAAAAGAAAATATTTTCCATCTTTTGTGGAAAATAAAAACCACCTCCACCAAAGGAAAATGTTTTCCTTAAAAACAAAAAAAAAATTAGGCATATTTTCAAAAGTTGGAAAATGTTTTCCATGGAAAAAATTAACAATCAAACATCTCAAGTAAGAATTTGAGTGGAAAACTGATATTTTCGATGAAAAATAAATGTAATCAAATACACCCTAATTAAAAACACCTAAATTTTAATAGATTGTACTAAAATCCATTAAAATCTCGATTGAGAACACCTAAATTTAGAACAATCTTTGAAATCCATCACAATCTTTATTGAGGAGATCCTCCTTAGTTGAGGACTCCCCTATAAGTATTTTTTTAGATAGAAATGTTATTAAAATCATTTTATTCATTTAAAAAGCGTCTTCTCAATAGGATAGATTCATATGATGAAATTCAAGGAATCTAAAATAAAACCATTGCTAAATTTGGATTCTATTCGAATCAAGTACATGGCCATGTTTAGCATCTTGTCTGTTACATCATTTCAACTTTATTTTTATCCGATTTAGAAAGAAAAAGTACACATTCTTAGAAAATCTTCTAAGCTAGTTTAGAGGATTATTTAGTCGATCCAAACAAGGCAATATTTTGGACTTGCCTACACTAGTTCCACCCAAAATAGCTAACACACACGATTTAGGTCTACATATCCAAAGGTCCAATCATCATCACACAGTTGAAAT